TCCGAAATCACCAAAGCTATTGTTTTTAGAAATATTGCAGTAATTTTAACAATAATCATTGGATTTTAACTTTCGATGCATTTTGGCATAGCCGGAGACGGGGCACATAGCTACGCTACTTTTGATTTTTGATTTTCGGCAAATCTTCGCAGATATTAGGCGCTAAATTTAGAAAATTTAAATTTTTACAAAAAACTTTTTTATTTATGAATATTTTTTAATCGTGTTTTACACAAATATAACGAGTCCTCTGACTTGGGCAAAAATGTGAAAATTTTTTGTCTCGGTAATTTTCCTTGGCCCCCATTGGCTAATTCAGTTTTTCAGTCCTAGATTAATTATTTATTGTTCGATTTGTATAAAACAAAGTTCATATGCCCCGTTGTCTCAATTGTCATTTTTTTTGTTACCAATAGTGTTATCTGTCGGCACCGGAAGTGGCGTAAATTGACAAAAAACTACAATTTTGACAGTTAGGTACCATTTTTCGAAAGCAAATATTATTTTTTTCAAATCTGGTATAACTGAAATTGTGCGCCCTTTAAAGGCGCACAAAATGTTGGGACCATTTTTTTTAATTTCGATTCCGTTTTCGGGCTATTTCGATTAAAAGGTGAAAAAAGGTGTAAAATTAAGCTATTTACAACCCATCCAGCGTTTTCATATTTTAAAATATTACTTCGTAACTTTCATAAACTCGTAGCAATAATCTATACGGAGAGAATGTATGTGAAAATTAATTTGTAATATGCGCAGTTGCCGAGAAATGGGCAATTTTGCATGAGTCACTTTTTACGCTAGTTTGCCTGTAAAAGAGTCAATTATTATTCGATTTTCATAAAAGTGACACCATTTGATGTGTAATGTCAATTTTAACTAGGTCAAACCAATTTAACATTTTCAATATCACCGGAAATGACGTAATTTGGGCAAAAATTGTATTTATAGCCTTCGAAACCAGTAATTTATTCAAATGAGTCATATTTGTTATTTGTTTAAAATTTTGATATTTGATTCAAATCAACTAATACAATGAACCCTTACGATCATATAGATATCACAAAATGGTTTCTAACTTGTTCAGTTGCGGAGAAATAGGCAATTTTCAACAGGTCACTTTTTAAGGTTTTTTTGTCAATAAAAGTGTCAATTATTATTCGATTTTCATGAAATTTTCACTGTGTGATACATAATGCCATTTACGATATCATACAAGTAATTTAAGATTTTCATTATCACCGGAAGTAACGTCATTTTGGCAAAAACTGTATTTTTAGCCTTCAAAACAGATATTTTATTCAAATGAATCAGATTTGTAATGTTTTTAAAATTATGATATTTGATTCCAATCAACAAATAGAATGAACTCATTCGATCATACAGATACCTCAAAATGGTTTCTAACTTGTACGGTTGCAGAGAAATAGGCGATTTTCTACAAGTCATTTTTCAAGGTTTTTGGTCTATAAAGGTGGCAATTATTATAGGATTTACATAAAATTTTCACCATGTGATGATGCTATTTCTGATTTCATAAACCAATTTAACATTTTCATTATCACCGGAAGTAATGTAATTTTGACAGGATCACTGACATGTAGCAAATGAATTGATTGCTGGATTTGGTTGTTTCTGCGTCCATTTTATTTTATGTGTGCAATGCTTATGTGGAAACCTGTTTAACGGTTTCATTGGTACCGGAAGTGACATAAGTTCTAGGGTAACGTGGCACCGGTGAAACCCGTCATTACTGCTTCGCAGTTCTAGTTTTACTTGTCTTTACTATACTAGGATCTGAAAGAGTTGTTATATTACCGGCGTTCTGATTGAAGTGACGGATTAGTTAAGGAAACGGTGTATTACGGCGAGTTCTTGTCATACGGTGCACGGAACTGTGGGTTAACCACTAGAAACGTCAACGCTGATTAATTAATCAATGCCTGACGTCATAGGTTCGAAAGCCGCCCGTATGACACCTGACGCCCACCTTCCAGCACAACTGATCAGAACTTCGTGTAGTGTAGGTCATCGAAAGTATAATGACACGAAACGAAATATAAATCTGTACTTTAATCAGATTGCAGTAACTGTATTCCACCGCAGTGTGTACTGTGATTTTCTTATTCAGTAATGCTAGATGTCGTTTAAACAGTTTAATAATAGCAAAGTGTACGTTCCGAATCCCAAAACAAAACAAATACATCTAAAGTAAAGATATGATCCTGACAATAAAACGTTTAAGTTAGTAGTTTTGATGTCTTTAGTACTAATGGCTTATCATATTTAAACGTTAATATTTGACAGAAAATGTCAGCCCTGAATGGTGTAAATTTCTCTTAACAGATCGTTTCCGGCCCTTGGTCCGACCCAGTTGCCAATAACAGCATGGCAGTGATTGACGGTAATAGATTAAACGTAAAAAAAATTCTAAAAGGTCGATGGTGTGCACACCATTAGCGAAGTACGCATATTTTCAGACCCAGTTATACAGGTTAACAGCCATACTCATTTCATATAAATATACTGAGCAACATAAACGTATGAGACATGTAATGGCATGATATTTTTTGGAGTTATGTACAGTCGCACACCAGTGATCATCTGTAAATATACGAAACCAGTCGACTTCTACCTCGCTGTCTATTTTTAGCACAAGACATACGAAATCGGAATAATCATTATTCAAAATCAGAATAATCATTATTCAAAATCAGAATAATCATTATTCAAAATCAGACTAATCATTATTCAAAATCAGAATAATCATTATTCAAAATCAGAATAATCAGTATTCAAAATCAGAATAATCATTATTCAAAATCAGAATAATCATTATTCAAAATCAGAATAAAAATTATTCAAAATCAGAATAATCATTATTCAAAATCAGAATAATCATTATTCAAAATCAGAATAATCATTATTCAAAATCAGAATAATCATTATTCAAAATCAGAATAATCATTATTCAAAAACATTGTTTTAAAGCTGAGGAATCTTTATTCAAAGTAAATTCAAATTCAAAATATTTCATAAAGCTCTTCAATCAAAATATGAATAATTTTTATTCAAAATATGCATAATTTTTTATTCAAAATTTGTATAATTCTTTTTTCAAAATATGAATAATTTTTATTCAAAATATGAATAATTTTTATTCAAAATATGACTAATTTTTATTCAAAATATGAATAATTTTTATTCAAAATATGAATAATTTTTATTCAAAATTGAATAATCTTTATTCAAAATATGAATAACTTTTATTCAAAATATGAATAATCTTTACTCAAAATATGACTCTTTTAAAATTCTAACAATGAATAATTTTGTATTCAAAAAAATGTGAATCACATTTATTCAAAATATGAATCACCTTTATTTAAAATATGAATCACCTTTATTTAAAATATGAATAATCTTTACTCAAAATATGAATAATCTTTACTCAAAATATAAATATTACTATTCAATTTTTAGCATGTAATTATACTCAAATTATGAATAATCTGTATTCAAAATATGAATAATCTTTACTCAAAATATGAATAATCTTTATTCAAATTATGAATAATCTTTATTCAAAATATGAATAATCTTTACTTAAAATATGAATAGTCTTTATTCAAAATATGAATAATCTTTATCTAAAATATGAATAATCTTTATTCAAAATGTGAATAATCTTTATTCAAAATGTGAATAATCTTTATTCAAAATGTGAATAATCTTTATTCAAAATATGACTCTTTTAAAATTCTAACAATGAATAATTTTGTATTCAAAAATGTGAATCACATTTATTCAAAATATGAATCACCTTTATTTAAAATATGAATCACCTTTATTTAAAATATGAATAATCTTTACTCAAAATATGAATAATCTTTACTCAAAATATAAATATTACTATTCAATTTTTAGCATGTATATTATTCGATTTAAATATATCGATATTTATAGCAAATATTTAATATAACTCTTTGGTGGAAAAGCATATTCAAAAACAACACGTGCGTCTCTGTGCAATGTTCTTTTGTTCTTGTTAGGGGGGTCGGATGGCCGAATGGTTAGCACGTGCGCGCTGTATCATGAGGCCTGTCATTGAGTCAACTGGTGTGGTTTCGAATCCCCGGTTGTACGTGACAAGAAGTAGGGTCGCTTCTCCAACCTCGTTGGTCTTCTCCGGTTTCCTCCCACTGCTAAAGACCCCTACGCGCAAGCGAATTATTGAAATACAATTAAACCATATGTTAGTCCCGAAATAACCTGGTTTGTGTCGAGTGGACGTTAAACCCCAGTTCTCTCTCTCTCTCTCTCTCTCTCTCTCTCTCACTCTCTCTTATTCTTGTTAGAAAAGATCAGTTGATAGAATAAACTTCAATTCCTTTTTTGTGGGTTTCTTTTTTTAAATTTTCTAAAAGTTCATATAGTGCGTGGTAAGATACCTGATAGTGTTTAAATATATGATCGACCAGTTCATGATGCTTTAATGATATCGCTTGATAATCATTTTAGACAAACACTGGTTCATGTTAAAACGCGGATAAATAATAATCGTTAATTAATACACTAAATATAAAACGTTAAACATACATTATGCAAGAGCTAAATCTGTCTATTGCAATTCTTTCTTTAGGCCTGAAATGTTTTCTAAATTATTAATTAGACATTAATTAACTGATCCAGACCATAATCAACTCTCGCTGGCATCGGATTTCTCCGATATTAAATAGATTAGAACGGTGCAGCCATATTTTGATTTAATCTAAAAATGGAGGACCGAGACTTAGCCTCGAACAACCAGTACGGCGATTGAAATTCTTGCACACGACTTGTCAAACCTTCAAAGGCTAATATCTTCGCTCGCAATCGAGTAATTTGAATTCAATTTTCAAATTATTCAATTTACATTATCTATTTTCGAGCTATTATAGCAAGAATGGCTAGCGCTTTATCTAAATCTTACATAATGTATCTTTAATGATCCATTGTCTTACCTGTAAAAACTTTAATTATCTTAATATCATCTTTCACACCAGCTTGACATGTATAACGACCTTCATCCTCCATATAGGTGGCTTCCTTGGTTACGGTATGAACTAAAATCTTTTTTTCATCTTTCACAGACTCAGTAGTGGTTACTGTATACCCTTGTTGCTGGATAGGAAATCCGTTTTTGGTTATATCATGTACCTGAGGAGAACCATCATCTACTGTCATGGTTATTTCACACGCTATTTTAAATGGTTCATTTTCCAGCATCCACACAGGACTACCAGAAGGCATGATTTCTATTTTCTCTACATGTATGTCACCTGGAATAAGTAGAGTTAACGAAAGGTGTTAAATAATAAAGTGCATTTGTTCAATAAATTTACCCCCATCAATAAACTTCAGAATTGGTTTGTTTTCCTTTCATTAATGATAAAACAAGTCTATTTGAAAAGAGACAAAAATGTAAACCCACGAGCTGGGTGAATCGGTCAATAAAGTTGACTATCATTTCTAGCTGTTTTTTCTCATTGATAATCCGATATTCTCCATAAATATTCATTAAAATGATAGATAGCCATATACAGAACGTCTTGGCCTTATGATGGATGGTGTATCTCAGAAGTATTACACGTTCAGCTACTTTCTTATTCCATTTTCAATATCATTATTACAACGTTTTGAGAATTTAAATAATAAATGACACCTGATTCTTTGAGAAAACAGCAATAAATCACAAACAACTATTTCAGTATTAGTCGTTAACAACATAAAGGCTAATTATAAACATGTTTCGATTCATTATAGCATTAATAAAACCACATCAAAGAAGATATTATTATAGTGTTTGACAATAAATAAGAATGAATAGGTATGGCTGTCTAAACAATGCAGTCCCCCACCCCCACCCCACCCAACCCCGATTGGGTGAACCGTCCATTTTTTCAGGCAATGTATAACCGTTTATCGGGAACAAACATCAGAGAATGAGACCATATATCATAGGAATATAATTGTAAAATGAAATCGATCGCGATTTACGCTTTGAAAACTATAGTACTTATGTGGAGCTTTTGGAAAAAAATATCGTTTTAGTTCACGATTAATTCATTCTTAAAATTCGAATGACAAAGACAAATTTCGGGCAAATAGCTGTTAAGGAATTTCAATACTGAAAACTTTTTTTTAATCTGGATAGATATACATAGCGAGTTAAAACACGAGCATTATTTCCTAAGACACGTTGCTGATTTTGATGCTGTTGGTTATCACAAAACACTTCATCTGAGAATGAAGAAAGCAGGAAAATTGTGTTGCATGAATTCATATTGTTATCTCAGGGGATTTTGGTACTTAACCTGGCATTGTGTGTATCAGATGAATTTCGCTACTTGAGTGCAATGACGAGTTACGTGCTTTGACTGAGAAAATTAACTTGGACTAAATTGATACCCCCTGTTAATCACTTCATTGGCGTTATTGGATTACCACTTCTTGCAAAAAGTAATCATTTACATTACCCTCTTTGACTCACTAATGTTGGCAGTCTGTGTTTGAGTTGCTGGCCATGAACATTTCTCTTTATAAAATACGCAGTAAACGTTAAGTATTGTATTGATTGTTTTAATTGATCTTTATGTTCTCACCGGTATTTACACTTCATTTATCTATAGTCACTACCTGTTGTTTCACACATAAAATATAAAGTAGTTTTTAAATGTAGGCCAATATATAAGGCTGGAAGGTTCTATTGATAACTGAAAGCTATTAACAAACAGAAAATATAAAATTTGTATCCCAAGTTTTTTTATTAATCGAGAATGTTCTTGGTTTAACAATGTAAAGTTCATTAGTGTGGAATTAAGCACCAAACTTTGAAATAGTCAATGTATAGGAGCTGGGAAATAGAGAGAGCCATATGGACGTACCATCTACAACGAAATGAAGGTCACGAAATAAAATACTAATATTTATTAGTTATAATGACACTTCTTAGTATGTAATATCTACGATTTCTCTATGTGGTGAATATTGTATTCCCCCGGCAGACATGTTTCAAGGAAAAGATACACCAACATATAATGATTTCTGAAGGAGAAGTCACTCGATGCATCTATCTAGCTCGTTACGAAAATAATTCTGAAAATATCTTGTACCTCACAGAACTCAATTTTCTGTCAGCAAATCCACCATTGATTAAATTACATGAACACTAATGAGTAAACTGTGTTGCTGATCAACAATTTATGTTCTTCCGGCTGCTTGAGACTGGATATTCAAATCAGGTGAAAACCAAATTATATTGCCTTGCTAAACTATAAACAAGTTAAATAAGTGTTTTGTCCCTTGGCCCTTTCTCTTGCTTTAAGTAAATGATCGATAATATACATGAACGGCGCAGATTATGGTATTTCTAAGAAAGAAGCCAAACACTGCACCACATCCCACCTCCAGCCCCCTTCCCGTCTCTGCAAAGAAAACCACACCTCATGTTCGAAACTTGGTTTTTAATGTATGGCCAATGAACATATGCTATACCAAGACAAAATCCCCTTTTTGTGAACTTTTCAAGCTATCTTATTTTCCCGACGAAAAGTAGGAGTGACAGACCAAATGCACCCTACTCCGTGTTTCGTTTTCATCCTTAGTAGAATCCAGTGGCCATCACGTTGATATGCTTGTCAATAAAGTTGCTATTTTCAGAATATTTGAATTGTACTTTCATCTATCAAAATACTAAACAATAAAGGGGCAGATAGCATCGATACGTCGTTAGGAAATCGGGAAAACGTTCTTTGTTCAAACGCATCACAGTTGATAATTCAATGCTGTGCGCTTTTTTTTTCTCGAGCTTTGTTATCAGAATTACAATCATTTACAACTGAAAATTACCAGCTGTTAAGCTACATACTGAAGAGGTTTCTATAGTTTTCAGATCATCAAAGGCAAGTAATTAAATCACAAAAAGAAGTCATCATTTCTATGTGATTATAATACACGATGGGATCATACATCTCAGAAAGGCATCATGGAGTAGTGAAATGGAATTTGGGAGATATTATCAAGAGCACGATTGTCCACTGGTATCGTATCTGTGCTGTTCATCTTGTTTCTGTAGCTGGTTGCGTGCCAGCGGTTCATCTCACTTTTACTCTGGTTTAAAACTTCATCACTTTTAATCCATCTTAAGAAGAGACATGGAACAGAGATTATGCCACAACCTTTCATGTTTTCAATAGGAAATAACTTCAATTAATCTCATTTTAACACAAATCGATTTTGTTCCCGTTCTATCGATCTAGGGGTCGCAAGGGGTCACATTTGGTAATTCAAGTTACCAGTACTTCAAAGCCTTCCTCTATTTATGAGAAAGGCGAGAAAATTCCCCACTGTTGCTTCACTGAATTCAATAAAACATCCAATCTTAAAACTATCAACAGACTGACCGACTCCGTATATAAAATATTGGCCTATTATGAGATAGTGGAAGCTTTCAAAGTTTGAAAAGAGGAACTATGTTCAAAGAATACGTTAATACTTGCCTGCGTGCATGGCAGTTGCAGCAAATTCTAAAGATAATCAGAATAAGAACAACACTTACCTGTTAAATAAGGCAGAAAGGTAGCCAGGAGGAAGAAAGTTAACGTATTTTCCATCCTGATTAAAAGTTGGTGTATTAACCTTAGCGGTACAAATCGGATTGACATGAAGAATTTACTTGGCCAGTCTATGTCGTCGGCCGACTGTAAATGCTATTCAGCGCGATCAATATTCGTCTATATCCGTACCGCGCGCCTCTCAAACGCCGGTGAACAATAGCTGCTAATCGCTGCTCTCCTCGAGTGCTACTTGATGCTTAAGATCATGTCATCGCAAAATGTCTTTTGCGTCCTAGCTGTTGGTGATATCATGATGACTGGCTCAAAACTTTAAAAAAAAATACTCTCAATTTGGTTCTGGTTCATTAATACACTAAAAATAACCGTTTGATCAACTAGCGTAAATTTTTCGAGCGTTAAATTACAAGCTTTCCATACTATATTTGGTAACACGAATGGATAAGCTATATTCGACGATTAGGGGTCAAATTTGAATATATACTACAAATTTTAAAATGGTCTTGGTGGCAAGTTTTTTAAACGTATAACCGTAATGTTTGGGCGATATGGAAGCTATAAGGTAAAATATATGCCTGAGCTGTTTATGGAGATAACCTGAAATTATAATCAGCATACCTTTCCTCATGCACGGTGTCTGATGGTTCCTGTAATTAGGCTTGACATTGATGGTACCCCATTAAAATTATTAAGAATTCATATGTTCTTCTTTATGATTGAACTGCAATTATGCTAATTGGTCAGAATTGGAGAAGACAATGCAAATTATTGTGTAATTTGATTGGAGGTAATGTAAGTTAATAATTTGTTAAAACCCCAAACAACAGTGGCCTAGTGGTTTGAATGCTGTGGAATATTGGTAGATCCATTTGCATTCTCCGGAGTTAGCCGATCTGGCTAGGGCGAGCTGAGCGGGTTAAGACACTGAAAGACATTTTATGATTTAGTTCATTAGACTTTTGTGTTTTGTTTGTGATTCTGTGCTTTATATAAAACCTTTTTTTGAAGAACAGTGTGTTCCCAGGTAAAATTGTAGTTGCCATATTCTGTCCGTGGAGAAGTCTATTTCTAAATCTCAGTCGAAACACAACGTGAAACAAAGAATTAGCGACCGTGACGAAGGATATAGCTACCTATTCTTTTTGGTGCCGCTTTGCAGAAAGTGTAAAACACGACAGCGTTATACAAGGGGCCAGTGGACTTTTACAAGCTCTCTAATTTCGATTTTGCGGAATTAATAGTAAATTCGAGTCAAATAAAACATGTATTCCTTAAATCAATCAGTTATATACAAATAAGTCACTGTCAGCAGATTCTAATGATAATTAACGCAGTGACAAGAGAGAATCCAAGAAGTCGGATACACTATCCTCTCCGCACTATAAATATAAAAATAAGTATACGTTTAAAATAAACACTTAACAGTTCTATGGATAACAATTACTATATTTCTATAAAGCTACGTTTCAATAATGATTCTCTTGTCGTTATCAAGCACAATAACGACAAGAGAATCATTGTTGAAACGTAGCTTTATAGAAATACTAGCAGGATACCCGGCTTCACTCGGGGGTCATAACTCCGAAACCGGAAGTGGTAGACTAACGCCACGTGGCCTATGTTACTCCCCGGTCCGAGCTACCCCTATACCCCAAATTTCAGACTCGGGGCAGACCTAGTGTAGCCGCCAACCCCGAACAGGCCGGCTTCGCTCGGGTTTCATAACTCCGAAACCGGAAGTTGTAGACTAACGCCACCTGGCCTATGTTACTCCCCGGTCCGAGCTGGCCCTATACCCCAAATTTCAGACTCGGGGCAGACCTAGTGTAGCCGCCAACCCCGAACAGACAAACTTCGCTCGGGGGTCATAACTCCGAAACCGGAAGTGGTAGACTAACGCCACCTGGCCTATGTTACTCCCCGGTCCGAGCTACCCCTATACCCGAAATTTCAGACTCGGGGCAGACCTAGTGTAGCCGCCAACCCACCCCGAACAGACCGCCTTCGCTCGGGGGTCATAAGTCCGAATCCGGAAGTGGTAGACTAACGCCACCTGGCCTATGTTACTCCCCGGTCCGAACTACCCCTATACCCGAAATTTCAGACTCGGGGCAGACCTAGTGTAGCCGCCAACCCCGAACAGACAAACAGACAGACAGACAGACAAACGACAGTCACAAATATATATATAGATAGATATAGCTAGTAATTGTTATCCATAGAATTGTTGTCTTTATTTTAATGTGTTCAATTACTAAATGCCATTCAAAAAGTATACGTTTCTATCTAAACACTGTCAAAATCCTAACAAATAAACAAAACATAAAACTGATAACTGATTACCATTACCATGACACATGCCATGTGAACAAGGAGTCAAGGGAGAAAACTCAATTTACTGTCACGCCATAATCATTGAAAGACATCATATCAAATAACAGTGCCAGTTCACAAGGTTTAGGGAAAAAGGAACGGAATTTCACGGATCGCTGACAATCGATAGCGTTCGTCTCATTAACCATGCTACACGCCAAATTTGAAATAAATCTGTTAAAACTGTAACCTCTATTGCGTTTAGAAGGTTTTTGGGAAAGGGACGCTAAATATATCATAAAGGAAATCAAATGAAATGGGGTTTAACGCCCTACTGTTCTGCTCCGACTGGGTTAATGAAAACGGGAATACGCCCTACGGTCTACTCTTATATAGAATTCCAACTGCACTCCAATGTGTACACGGGATCTCGGTTTTTTGTTTCATTCGAACAACTAGACAGCTGCCCTTGTCAGGCCCTCCATTCTGCACCACTGATAAGGGGAAACCACGCCGGAAAATCTCGATGAACTTTCTCGGCCAACACCGGGAGGAAACCCGCGACCTGCAGGCTACCGAGCCAGTGTCTTAACCACCGCGGCTCCCCACGCTAAATATCGTGAGGGATCGTCCTCTCATAAACCGAATGCTAGGGTGCCTAACCATAAATAAAATATCCCCAAATATTACGACAATTTTACCACAATATTTATATACGCGCCTTAACTTTCTCACATTTATAGTCACTAAATAAACGGTCACGCAGGAGCTTCGGAGATATAAATTGTACTATTAAATCAAAAGATGTCGCTCCTGACAGTATAGTTAATAGTAAAGCAAATTAAAGATACTTTCCCAGAAAAGTATTTATCGGGTGGTTCTTTCCAATAAAAGTATGTCAAATTTGATATGGAAAGTAAAGACACCCAATCTTACTAGAAAAATACTGGGCAAAATTGGCAGGGTATCACTAACTGGCAACCCGACTGTTATCTGCCAGCTTATTGTGTGCCAGCTTAAGTGAGGGAGCGGTTGTTTTTTCTTGATCAAATGATTAGGCGGTTTTGTGAACATTGAGGGGTGTCAACGTACAAAAGACTCTGCAAATAAACGGCGGAAAAAGAAGTTGACAGAAATAATTAAGAATTTACTTTGGCCTCAATATGTAGTAAATGGACAGTAAGTAATGATAAATACGTTCTGAAAAATGGACCCTCCCACAATGAAGCTAAGTTGACAGACATTGCGTCTAACAACAGCTTACTTATAGCTATAGCTATCCCCGGCGCATACAAGGTTTTGAGAGGGAATTGGAGCAAATTTTTGATAGATTGGTTACTTTGAATATGTTTTAGTCCAAATATATCATCAAATCACAAAGTTTGAACTCGGGAATGTATCATTAAAAAACAAAACGAACGTAATTTTCTAAAACTGCTGTAACATTACTGTCTCGTGCTCCGTGTGTCCAGCCTGTAATCACTTAGCAACTTGATATTTGAGCGTGAACATTCGCTGCGGTGAGTTCAACTTTTAGTAGAGAAAATTTTGATTGCGCGGGGCACCCTACCAATGTTTCACACCAATCTGATAATAAGCTATTAAAATCTAGCCTTTATCGCGTTCAATCGGTTTTCGCCGAGTAAGGGGGGGGGGGGGGTAACTCTAGATCGGAAGGCACGATCCACACCAAAATCAAACGCATTCAAGATCTTTTGATTCTTAACATATTTTAAGTTTAGTCTAACGCGTGTACTTTAGATTAGATCATACGGTCAGTCGTTGAGATATGTGGCGTGGTTTCGACCCCAACTACGTGGCAAGGAATGGGTTTCGCGCGGGTTTCTCCGGACAGGCTACTAGGGGAGATCCGGGCAAGAGGAACCACTTTATTAGTTGACTTGGTTATTGCTCTGGGCCCCCTTTCTCACACATCTAAAGAATCCTTCGCGCAACCACATTATGGAAATAAAATCAACTCGAACATTATGTGTAGAATAAAGCACGAGACTGAGGTTATGCCGGGGAAAGACAGACTGAGAAGAAAATAACCCGAGAAAAAGAAAAACCGAGGAGGGCAGGCCGAGGTTTTTCTGTCGAGGGTTTTTTCTGAAGTCTTTCTTCCCCAGCATAATCGAAGTCGAGGACTTTATCTAGCTTATAAACCGTCTATGTTTACATGTACGCAAGATGAGAATATCCCAGAATTCCCGTAAGATAAACCTTATATATATCATGTTTTCTTATGGAAAAAAAGACTACCCTGGAAGAATAACCCGGTACAGGTTTAAAGAAAAACTTTCAGAAGAATAACCCCAAATTTCCCTGTATATATCCAAAGCCGCCCCGACTTTCAGACCGCAAGATATTCCGGCCATAGAATATACCCCAAAGATCAAAGAGATTTACCGTTACAGGTTTATAAAAAATGATAAATGACACGCGCCTTCAACTGCTGAGTTATGAGAACACTAAGGTGTCAGCTTAGAACCAATTACTTCTACGGCGTCAGTTAACTTATGCAAATAATATGGTGACACATTGTACCGTTACTGGAGTATGTATACAATATATAGTATTAATACTGTTGCGGTTCAATTGTTTTTCACATACTGCAGTCATCACATATATACTTTCTGCGATCTTCGTAAGCGGAACATTTATCGTGTGCCCAATCTTTACAGGAATCACACTGGATCTAATCCTCCACCAATGGTTCTATGCACTGTTCACCACAAAACATGCAATAGTAATGTTTGCCAACAAACATGTCACCTTTTAACAGATTTAGAAGGGGTTTCTTCGCATTCGAGCGACCTGCTTTAATTCTTGAAGTTTACAACGTTTTTTTTTTCGTTTGAGATCTTTCGCTGCTTTCTCAAGAGC